ATTTAATAAGATTGATGAGGATGCTTTAAATTCATACTCCAAATAAAAGACTTTTAATTTTTAATTGTTCACGGTGTGGTCTCCATTGACTATGTTTTAAAACTTCTCTTCTCCCTATGTCGACTGTTTGAAAATCAATCCAAGTCGACAGTTTGAAAATCAATTCAAGTGCTTATGAATAACGTTCAAAACAAAAGTGCCTATAAATAAATCAGTTAGACTTTCACTATGCATTCAAAGTCTTGTACTACGACTATAGGCCATGTTTGATTCACAATACTAATAGTGAGGTATTAATAATCCTATCAAATTAGTGTGGTATTAACTATCCCACCCCTACCCCATTACTAATTATCCTACAAATTTGTTGGATTAATTATCCATTGGATTAATAGTCCTAAACCAAATGTCAAAACAAACATAGGATGGTTGGGCCCACGGATTAATAATCCTAATCCCATACTTTAATCCTTCCAATCAAACATGCCCATAATTTACCTTTCATAATATATAATTGCACATCGAATTTTAATGTTTAATTAACAAATAAACTCAATGAACTACGAAAATAATATGCTTGATTCATTTGACCAATAATTCTAGTTAATTAACCAACTTTTACCCTAAAAATGATGTATAAAGGTGTACATTTAAAATTAGAATTTTGTAAGCCAAATCCAAAATAAAACTTATCCACATATTTTAATTTTGGATAAAAAATTAAATATTTTTTTTGATGATGTAAAACAACTATTATTTAATAGATCAAGTTTATCATGAAAGCATCTATACCCGGTGATGCTATACGCACAAATTGATATGCTAATTAGTGTACCAACATATATCATGACATTGTCATTTCAAAATTATGACCCCTCTTATTCTACAAATGACAAAGACTCAAAACCTTTAAAAATATATCACATCATTTGTTAATACACTAATTGGTATTCCAATTAGTACCCCCAAAAAAAAAAAAAAAACCTGCCTATCATTATAAACCTCTAATTTACATATTCGGACATTTAAAAATTTGTATGTCAATTTTTTTAAAAGGCATGTCAAATAAACATCTGTAAATTTGACATTTTTAAGAAAAATACTTCAATTGATATGTCAAATTTATTATTTTTACTTTAATCTTTTTTAAACTATTTTTATAGTTCCATACTATTAAAATAATAAAAATAAAGAATTTGACATCTTCTTTTTGCTATATCAAATTTGGTATTGCTCAAGACACGTTAATTGCTAACTCACTTTTGCAAATTTGGGTAGAGCACAATTGGATGCCCAATTTTAGTTATCAAATGTACTACCTCATAAATATTAATTCAGGTGGAGATACTCTTACACTATGTTTGGTTGGAAAATTTAGAAAGGGATTAGGAAATGAAAAAGAAAAATATAGGTCAAATATAAATAAAATATACCAATATTTTACTTAGTTTCACACACCTTTTTCCTTTCGTTTTCCAAATCTCTCTCTAAACCCCCCAACCATTATTTTTTACCCCCATCAAATCCAAGTAAAAAATTAATTAAAGCTTAATTTAATATAGAATATAGCAATCCTTATTACTCTCTTTCTATTTTCCATCAAATTTGAGTAAAAAAATAGTTCAAAACCTCCAATCCTTACTATTTTTTTAATCAGAACTTTTTAAAAATTTCTAAGGTTAGTTTAAAAATCTGTTTTAACCATTTAAAGAAAAAAAAAACTTCAATTCTTACTTTAAAAAACAAATTAATTTTGAATAAAAATATCACTAATACAAATTTAGTGAAAAATTTATGCGAAATGATTGTAGCTCATTCCTTGCTCTTTTAAAAATTTAAAACAAAAAAAATTCATATTTGAGTAAAAATATCACTATTAAAAATTTGATGAAAATTTTAATTCCTTCTTGATTTGGTAAAAAAAATTGTTTATTCCTTAATTTAGGTCTCGTTTGTCAACTATACATTTTAGTTAAAAAGTCAAAAAGTCACTATAAGTTGTCATATCACTCTCTTTACTTTTCTGCACATCTTTTCGTAAAAAGTCAAAAAATTATAGCATGTTCGCAAGTTTGATAAAATAATTGAAACTTATTTTTGGTTCTTTATTTATTAAATTGAAATTTGATATATAAAAAAATAAAAAATAAAAAATAAAATTGGTGAAAGATTTTGAGATATTATTAGAATGTCTCTAACACTTACTCTTTTCTTTCATCAAACTTAAATTTAATGAAAAAAAGTCCAGTTTTGGTGCTCTAATTATAACATCAAACTAATATCAAATTGATAATGTCTTACATTTTTTATCAAATTAAGGATGCCTAGAACATTTCCTTAAATTTATAGGTGATTGTTGGGTCGGATGTCTATTCGAACGTTATCCCGGACATCCTCTCGAATAATCTCTTCCTTGCAAAATTGTCTTGCATGTTGTGATCAATTTACACCAAATTGGTCGACCAACTGGACATCTGCCCAATCGTCCTCCTGGTCGATTGGTGCTTTGATAAAAAAAATTTTTCTCAAATTTAATAAGAAAAAAAAAAGAAAATAAACATTAGAGATGTTCTTAGAAATTAGTACTAATGAAAATCTTCCATTATTATCCTCGATTCCTTATCATCATTATGTAGTGTGAGCTACATAATAATGTATTGAGGAAATATCAAATTACCATGACAATAAATAAATTATTGTCCTAGAGATGAAATTTTTTTTATAGTGTAACTTTGACATACAATAAAGACTTACACCATGCACACATAAGATTTGGATCATCCACACAGTAAAATTGCATCACTATAAAAATGCAAATAATCTTTAATTGTATTTGATATTTCCCCTAATGTATTTTCCAATTTTCATGATTAACATTAGATTTAGATGTTTGGCTTAGTAGTTATGTAACAATTTTTTGTAGTGTGAAATCTTAGATTCAACTCCGATAAAGAAAAAATTAATATCTTTTGTAGTGAAAGATTGCATATAATTAGTAGTGATTGTTAAGCTTGAACTTAGACTCTATACAATTGCCCAAGCAATTATGGAAAGGGTTCTTAGGTGCCAAAGTGAGTGAAATTTCAAATTTGAGTCTATGAAGAGATGTTGATCTGAATTGTAATATAACTATTAACATACTAACTGCAATCTTGTGGAAAAAAAAAAAAACAAAACTTTGTTAATCAAAAAATTATTGACTAATTTGTTTGATAATATAAATATTTCTCATATTCTCCTATCGTTTAATAAAAAATTCTCATATCTGTAATTATTCTTTTATTGTTTAACCAAAAATTTGTTGACTTTCTAGGAACTTCATACCCTATAAAAAAATAGTGATAATAATATTTTTACAATTCTAAACCACAGATTACAACAATAAGTATTTTATCTTGGAAAAAAAAAGAAAAAGAAGTCACGCTATAAATTACATAAATTTACAAATATTTTATGGTCGATACCTCTACATGTGCATAACTCTTTTTTTTATTTTTTATTTTTTTTTATTTTTAAAGTTATCTCCTAGGATTGAGTTATCACGTTGTTTGGTTTTAATTTCTTAAATTTAATTTTATAAAAATTTAATTTTTAATTTTTTTATATTTTTAATAATTTTTTAAATATTTTATGTAATTTTTATTTTACTTTTTAAATAAAGTTAATATAAATAAAATTAAAAAAATATAATATTTATAAAAAAAAATTTTAAAATTCACTAAATATAAAAAATATAAAAATTCAATACATTTTTTTACACTCATACCCCTAAGGTTTCTGTTTAATACAGATCCCCTCTTATATTTGAAAATTGCATTCCACTCCCTGAGATTTGTAATCTCTTTACAAATTATCTCATGGATTGCTAATGTCATACTCTAAAATTTTTGAAATGACCATCTTTCCCTTTTTCTTACTATTTCTTCTTTCTATCACCATGATTACATTCTATAACTTTCCATAATTAAATTCTATATGAACATATTCTTATTGAGTGAAGATATACAAATATAAAATTTATACAGAATTTTCATACACAATGATATAACTTAATGGTAACCTTTCCCTTTAAAACAAAGCCCACATAAATATGATTTATATTTACAACAATATCACTATCACAACATTTTTATGATATTTTTTGTATAAATTTTTATATACGAATATTATTTTTCTTTTTCATTTCCATCATTATATCTAGATTAGATCAATTCAATCTAGAGGGAAATGATCCTAATGATTGAATACATTTCACCAAGCGTTGAAGGCTAGTTAGAGCATCTCCAACGGTAGTAGGCATTTTACCTATCTAAATATTACTATAAAGTATATATTTTATTTTGCCAATCAACTGTTTTATGTTTTTACTCCAACCATACCCTTTAGTTTAGCCATTTATCCAAATGCTATTAATTTTATAGAATGCTACGTCAACAACAAAGATGGAGGGAAATGATCCTAATGATTGAATACATTTTGCCTAGCATTGAAGGCTAGCTACATGTAGCTAGTGAATATGAGTTGAGGCAAAATGCCTAATCATATGCCTAGTGCATTGGAATTGAAAAAAGTAAATCACACTAGGCATTTTAACTAACAAGTATTATATGCCTAGTGCATTGGAGATGCTCACATGTAGTTAGTGAATATGAGTTGAGTAAAAATGCCTAATCATATGTTTAGAATTGAAAAAAAGTAAATCAAATTAGGCATTTTAACTAACAAGTATTATATGCCTGATGCATTAGAGATGCTCATAGTGCACTTGGAAGCTTATTTCATTCCAAAACAAATTCTTAATTGACTCCATAAAAACAAAATCCAAATCCAAATTGAGTGTTGGTTTAATTAACATGAATCACATCATGATACATAATATGCAATGCACAATGCAAGGCTGTTACCACACAAACAAAAGCCTCGCTTATCAATCTCTCACTCTCTACTCCATATAATTCACATACATATATATATATATATATAACATGGTGTTCGGATCAATTACCGTACAACTCAATTAATTCTAAAATCTATTAATCAAATCTTCCGCATTAGTCAAATCTTTATGCGTGAGCCCAAAATCAATCAAGTGCAAGACCAACAAACATCCCCAAAAAACCACATTAAAGTTAACACAACTACCCGATTTCCGATTTCCATACCACACATGAAGGATTCACCTCAGAAACAAAAACACACACAAAAAAAAAGAATTAAGGTACACAAACCTAAATTGAGTACCAAACATGTCCAAATAAAACCCGACCGGCTATTATGCGCCCGGCGCCGCATCCTTGACCCTACTATGTAAATACCCGCCGTACACTCTCGCATAGTCCTTCACGTGGTTGGCCGTGTCGGCAATCCGGTTCCTGGCATAGTCGACCTGATCCGACCCGGGTGGGTGAAACCCGCGAAAGTAGCGGTACATCCAGGACATAACCGCCATGGTGACCATGCCGAAGCCGCAAAGGGATAAGAATCCGGCGACTGCGACGAAGATGACGGTGACGAGCGGGACCCATATGGGGCTCGTAATGAAGAGCAGTGGAGTGAAGAAGATGAGGCCGAGGAAAGTGGCGGTGACGGTGACTCCTGTGAGGAAGAGGAGTATAGCTCCGGAGATGAGGAGGGTTAAGAAGCCAATGAGTCTGGTTGAGTTTGGTGAATTTTCATGGAGTCTTCGAAGAAATGCAGTGTGGTCGTTGGTGGTGGTGGTGGGTCTTGTGGGTCTCTGGGTTTGGGTGGAACCGCCTTGCCGATCAGCCATTGTTGATAGAGAGAGAGAGAGAGAGAGAGGTTTGATTGATTGATGAAGATGAAGATGAAGATGAAGATGAAGAAGAAGGGTGAGGAAGGGGGTGACACGTGTGTGGAGACATGCAAAGGGTACACGTGGGGGTTGGAGTTGTTGGAGGCTTTGGACTTCCCTATGCATATGCATATGCATATGCTGTGGGGAACTCTTGACTTTTTCTGTGGGCTGGGGTTTGAGAATTATTTGGGTGAAGCACAGACCACAACCCTTTTTTTTTTTTTTTAATTTTGTTTTTTGTTGTTATGTATTTTTCCCATTTATATATAGGTTTAAAAATTAAATTTATTTTTTAAATTTAATAATATAATAATTAATTAAAATATTTAAGATATATTTATATATATATTCTCTAATTATTAGTGGAGTTATCTTACCCATCTGATAAAGGAAAAATAATATGGTGATTTTAAGACAAATTTATTTATTAGTTAAGGGATTGTTTTGCATCCTCTATATTAGTATATTTTTTTTTTATCTTTTTATTTTTTTAAATCACATTATCTCTCTATTTTTTAAGTATATTTTTTCATAAAAAAATAAAACATACACTTATTTAGAAAAAAATTACTCATAAATCCCATTTGGAGAAAAGTTATTTCATTTAGTCCTAAAAGTTTTCTTTCAAACCAATTAGTCATTTTTATTTTGGGTATGTTGCATTTCCATAATTTGGGGTTTGAAATTTTACTTATTTGCCCTTATGTGTGATTTTGTTTGAATTTTTTTCTAATGTTGGGTATGCGTGGGTAAGGTAAGTTTTTACGTTTCTATTTATTTATTTATTTTTGTGGGAGATTAGGTAGAGTGATTTGTAGGTGGATGATGTTACTCCGTTTGTGGTGTTATTGGTGTGATGTTTGTTCTTTTTTGTGGTGTTTGTCCTTATTATAACATTGACATTAATTAACATTCAAATATAATACTAATGTAACTCATAAAAAAACTCATTACTGTACTTTTCCAAACGTAACACTCCAATATAATACTAAAAAAAAATTCCTTAGTATAACACTCTGAAGTAACACACAAAAATTTTTTTTATTGTAACACTCTAATGTAACACACACAAAAATTCTTAGCGTATTTTTTTCCAAACGTAATACTCTAATATAACACACAAAAAAACTCCTTAATGCAACACTCTAATATAACACACAAAAACTCTTTAGTGTAACATTCTAATGTAACATACAAAAAAAATTTCTTGATGTACTTTTTTCAAATATAACACTCTAAAAAAACTCCTTAATGTAACATACAAAAACTTCTTAACATTCTAATGTAACACCAAAAAAAAAAAAAAAATCCCTTTAATATACTTTTTTCAAACGTAACACTTCAATATAACATCTCAAAAAAAAATCTTAGTGTAACAGTTTAATGTAATACACAAAAAAATTCTTTGGTGTACTTTTCCCAAACGTAACGCTCCAATGTAACACAAAAAAAAAAAAAAAAACCTTCTTAGTGTACTTTTCATAAACGTAACACTCCAATGTAACACTAAAAAAAAAATATGAGATTCTTCAAACCATTCCGAAAAGAGTACAAATATTCCTTAATAAGTTTTGAACAAATGTATGATTTTAAACTATGAGTATTACATTTGAAAAAAGTACACTAAGAAATTTTTTAAAATTTTTTGTGTTACATTGGAGTATGTTACATTGGAGTGTTACGTTTGGGGTTACACTAATTGAAGTATTACGTTTGGAAAAAGTACACTAAGTATTTATTTATTTATTTTTTACATTGGAGAGTTACGTTTGGAAAAAGTACACCAAATAAATTTTTCTTTTTTTTTTGAGTGTTACGTTGTCACGTTTGGAAAAAGTACACCAATGAATTTTTTAGTATGTTATATTGGAGTGTTATATTAGAGTTTAGGTTTCTATTCGTAATGTGTGAAAATCTAAATCTTCTATAATACAAATTGTCCAAATGTGTAATTTTACATTTTGAGAAAATCATTTTTATCCCTAAAAAATTAAACCCAAACATGTAAGTGACTACCCTTTAATGTAATTTCCACTTTAATGGGACCTTTTAGTTTATAAGAAAAAAGGGAGGACTAAACCGTTCATAATATCACATTTTGAGATTTATTGGTGCTTCACACAAAAGAATTTCTTATTATAACACTATAATGTAACACACAAAAAAATTCTTATCGTATTTTTTTCCAAACGTAATACTCTAATATAACACACAAAAAAACTCCTTAATGCAACACTCTAATATAACACACAAAAACTCCTTAGTGTAACACTCTAATGTAACATACAAAAAAAATTTCTTGATTTACTTTTTTCAAGCATAACACTCTAAAAAAACCCCTTAATGTAATACACAAAAACTTCTTAGTGTAACATTCTAATGTAACATAAAAAAAAAAAACTCCTTAATGTACTTTTTCCAAACGTAACATTTCAATATAACATTTCAAAAAAAATTCTTAGTGTAACAGTTTAATGTAATACACAAAAAAACTCTTTGGTGTACTTTTTCCAAACGTAGCGCTCCAATGTAACACAAAAAAAAAAAAAAACCCTTCTTAGTGTACTTTTCATAAACGTAACACTAAAAAAAAATGTGAGATTCTTCAAACCATTCCGAAAAGAGTACAAATATTCCTTAATAAGTTTTGAACAAATGTATAATTTTAAACTATGAGTATTACATTTGAAAAAAGTACATTAATAAATTTTTTAAAATTTTTTTGTGTTACATTAGAGTATGTTACATTGGAATGTTACGTTTGGGGTTACACTAATTGAAGTATTACGTTTGGAAAAAGTACACTAAGTATTTATTTATTTATTTATTTTTTACATTGGAGAGTTACGTTTGGAAAAAGTACACCAAATAATTTTTATTTTTATTTTTTTTGTTTTGAGTGTTACGTTGTCACGTTTGGAAAAAGTACACCAATGAGTTTTTTAGTATGTTACATTAAAGTGTTACATTATTGGAGTGTTACATTAGAGTTTAGGTTTCTGTTCGTAATGTTTGAAAATCTAAAACTTCTATAATACAAATTATCCAAATGTGTAATTTTACATTTTGAAAAAATCACTTTTATTCCTAAAAAATTAAACCCAAATATGTAAGTGACTACCCTTTTATGTAATTTCTACTTTAATGAGATCTTTTGATTTATAAGAAAAAAGGAAGGACTAAACCGTTCATAATATCACATTTTAAGTTTTATTATTACTTTATCCCTTATTTAGATTATTTTAAACAACCTTTCAATTTATAAGACCGAATACTTGCTAAAATCCATAGCTTCTGAAAAGTATTCATCATATAGAGGCATAGGTTTTCAATTGTCAATAGAAAATTTTTCCATTTAGGAAAAAAAAAGAAAAAAAAAAAAGAAAAGTAATCATTCCTGATAAAGATGCTCTCCATTTACAATAAATAAACAATTCTTTAATATTTTTTTCTTTTGGTCTAGGGCCGCAAACGAATCGAGCTAAGTTGAGCTGGAGCTCGGCTCATTTACTTATCGAGTTCGTTTAATGAGTTCATGCTCAGCTTAATAAGAAACTGGGCTCAAACTCGGCTCAGCTCGTTAATATTAAGAAAACTCGAGCTCAGCTCGGCTCAACTCGATAAATTTTTTAAAAATATTATTTATATATATTTATATATTATAAGCAACATTCGAAGTTCTTGAATGATTAATCACTACAAGTCTAATCAATTCATGGTTTAAGGGTCGGGTTAGACCCGGGTTGTCACGCAACCACACCTTGGCTTTGTGTAGTTGTGAGTGAGTTTGTGAGGTCATAGGTGTAAGATCGGGGATGTGGTGAGTCACATGATATTGAAATAAATCACAAATAAAATAATAGTATGTGTTCTTCTCAATTTAGCTAACCAACTATGCGCAAATATTTTTTTTTTTATTTGTGATCATCTCATCCTATTTAAAATAATAGTACAAAAATGAAGAAACTCTTGTGGAATTTAGATAATTGGACTAAATTTAAAAATTATGTGACCTAAATTGATAACAACAATGATAGAGAGCTCTAATTTTGGAGCTCTAAAGAGAGCTTTAGTGATGTGGCAAGAGGGAAAAAAAAACAAAACGAAAACATAGGCACACACATCACATCATATGTGGGCCTCACTCCTTGCCACATCACTAGAGCTCTCTGTAGAGCTCTAAAATTAGAGTTCTCAATCTTTATTTAAAAATATAATACCAAAAAGTTTGAGTTTCTCTCAAATTTAAACTTTAAACTTGAAAGAATTTGAAGAGTTTATGGGTTCACTACAGGTTCTATTTTGGTGATTCGAATAATTTATTTTGTAAGACTCTCCAGGTGTATCATCTATTAAGAAAATTAGATTAATTTGATAATTGTAGTATTTTTATTTTATCTTGTTTGTTTCTAAAAAATGAATAATTTACTTTTAAAAATATACTTATTATATATTTTTATAAATAATCACAATAAAATAAAAATATTATAATTTTTTTTCACATTTGCTCTTGAAATTCTGTCAAGTTGAAAGAAACCCGACCACCTTATTGTATTTGAGGCCATTGCGCGTGGTGCTCTTGAAATTCTGTCAAGTTGAAAGAAACCCGACCACCTTATTGTATTTGAGGCCATTGTGGCGATGTCATTATCAACACTCTTGGGCCAATCTGGGCCTGGGGGAGTCACTGCAGCCTGCAGGCATCAATCATCTCAGAAATGTGATCCGTGAGGAAGACAACCCAGCCCAATAGTGAGCAATGACTGCACTTCGTCTGTATACATAATTTCAAAATTATATAGAGTAGTCTCTAATTTTTTAAACTATAGAATAGTCTTCTTAAAGTAACAATTCTGGATCCGTTCCTGTCTACAAAGCATGTTGACTTTTTTTAATGCCTATAATTATGGATGAACCCAACTTCTGTATCAATAGTGATTCATCTTACTAAAACTAGAGCTCTAATTGAGCTTTAGTGATATGGAATATCAAAAAAAAAAACAAA